AGACTGGCAGTGCCAAGGGAGTCTGACAGCCTTAGAAAAGAGGTCTCAAGTCTAGGTGAGAGATGTGGATGGGGCAGAGAAGTTCTTTGGTACGGAATACTCTCCGTGTGTTTTTAGAAGGCTGGCAATTTTTAGTTCCAGCCACCTCCAAATGGCACCTTGTATCCATACTAAATTTGCAACTTTTGAAGCCCATCAGTTTGTGATCTTAGGAGAACAAGTCGTATTGATGGTTATAGGGTTCGAAGACGGTTGGCAAAGATGCACTCAAATAGTTAATAAGGTAATGGTAAGAAATGTTGACCTTGATTTGTTTAGCTAAGATGTAAAGATTTTTGAAGGTCAAAGGTGTCCTTGTGTAGTGTTTTGGAGTCTAACTGTGCCTGACCCTCTAACATTAAGCTGCTGTGGCCTGCAGTTTTGAAGAGTGAAGCAAACCAGGGGGAAAGCGGGAAGGGGGAGAGAACAGGAAATGGAGTGAGGTGTTTCAGGAAGTTGTCAGGGGTTGACTGATTGATTCCAGATGGAAAGGGTCAGCCTTCCTGACCCAGGAAATACTCACGAGGGGAAAGAAGTTGGCTTGGGGAAGGGGAAGGCCTGGGAGTGAGATGATGTTGGAATGCACATTCCACTTCCTTGAGCCTTAAAACATTCAGAAATTTTCACTTCTCTGAATAGAATAATATCAGTGTTGTCATCATTAATCAGAAAACTGGGAAGGAAGTTAAATTTGAAGCTTGGGCTAGACCAACTGTATCTTTACCTGCATAATGTGGCTCATTCCTGCAGAGTAAAGATATGTAAATTCAGTATTTAAGTCTGTGTCTCCACGTCTTGGAACAACCGCCAAATATGTCTGCCTTGTGTTGTAAAGTCTGTGAATTAAGTTCATTACGCTTTGCAAGTTCAGTTGAATTGGCCGGCTCTCCTAGCTACCTCACTGTCTAAGATATCTGGAATACTAAAACCTGGGACTTGCCTCGTATCTGTATGTATACATGCTCACGCACATACATTTGGACATAGTTTAAAATGTTGTAATAAATTTTGCAGACGCTGAAATAATTCAGGTTAATTCCCTTGCTGTCATGAGAGGCCAGCTCAAGCCAGCAAGAGATTAAAATTTATTTCCATTGTTAATAGAAAATAATGAAGTGCATCTGAGCCATCAGGGTATGTCATTCGGGAAATGTTCACTTTGGAACCAAGTCTCACTCCACCCAAATGCACAATGATGAAATCAGCTGGCTCGTGAAAGCCCTATATCTTGTGGCAGGAGTGCATGAGGACTATTAGTGGACAGCATGACAAGAAGCTTGTGGAGTGAATTAAAGCAGCCTCAGAGACAAGGGTCTTCACAGCCACAGAATTCTCAGACCGTGCCTGGGTTCCCTCCCTGTGCCTAGGACAGCTGATGAACAATGAAAGCCCAAAATATCCTCTTGATTTTTGTTTTTGTTTTTTTTCTCCCAGAGACGATAGTCACGTCTTTGAAAAGGCGTCCACATGCACAATTTGCAGGACTGGTTTGATTCCCCTTTCTCCTCTTATTTTTGGAAGATGAATGACCTTCACGGTTGTATTACCCCATGACCATGAGACTGGCTTCTTCTGTCAATGGTGATGTGATCCCAGGCTTTGCTGAGATGGCTCTGATAAGTCTGAGCCTGTGCACTTGGGGAGAGTAAGGGATGCCTCCATGTCATGATTGCCACTATGTGATAGGAACTTTCTGGAAGGACTTTCCCCAGATTCTAACATGTCCATGTGAACACAATTGAAAACAGATCCAGAGCTAGACAGGCTGCACCCCTAAGTTGTGAGCAATTATGTTGATAATTTTCTGAAATGACAAGCAAAGTTCTTTTGAGACTATTCTTTGAATCTTCAGGGTCTGTCCATGACACCTGACATATAGTAGAAGCTCAGTGAATGTCCATGGGGTTGGATGATCAAAACTCACGTATGTTCATGTCAAAGTTTGTGTCTGCTACTGTGCCACGGAGTGAGACTATATGAGATGCTTTGAACACTTATGGGTTTTAAGGATTCTCTGAAATGTACATTAAAAAATATGTATTAACATTTTAGTATTTTTAGATACCATCTAAAAAGTCTCTTTAGGGTAAAAGAAAACACATCTGGGCTTGGCGCCTGTGACTCAAGTGGCTAAGGCACCAGCCACGTACACCTAAGGTGGTGGGTTTGAATCCAGCTCAGGGCCCACCAGAACAACAATGATGGCTGCAACCAAAAAATAGCCGGGCATTGTGGCGGGCGCCTGTAGTCCCAGCTACTTGGGAGGCTGAGGCAGGAGACTCGCTTGAGCCCAGGAATTGGAGGTTGCTGTGAGCTGTGATGCCATGGCACTCTACCCAGGGGGATAGCTTGAGGCTCTGTTCCCCCCACCCCCCAAAAAGAAAACACATCTGGAGAGGGTTGTTTTGGTGGCAGTAGGGCAAGGATTAACTGAGAAGGGACACAAGATAACTTTCTGGGGAGACGGAAATAGCTTATGTTGGGTGGCGCCTATGGCTCAAAGGAGTAGGGTGCTGGCACCATATGCTGGAGGTAGTGGGTTCAAACCCAGCCCCAGCCAAAAACTACAAAAAAAAAAGTCTATGTTGTGATCGGGGTGTAAATATACAACTAAGAGTTGGACATTTCAGTGAGTGCAAATTTAAATTTTACCTACAAAAAACTCCAAACCTGTGACCATCTTTATCACAGAGTAGGGGGTGGGGAGGATAGTGGTATACAATAGTCCCCCTAACCTACAGTTTCAGCCTTCCTAATTTCAGTTACCCAAAGTACACAACAGCAAGATATTTTGAGAGGGAGAGAGAGACTATATACATGTAACTTTTATTGCAATATATTATTATAATTGTTCTGTTTTATTTTTACTTATTATTGTTCTTACTGTGTCTAGTTGATAGATGAAACTTTATCACGGGCATGTACGGGCAAAAGCATTGTATAGATAGGGTCTGGTGCTCTCTGAGGTGTCAGGCAGCCACTGGGGGGCCTTAGAAGGCCCCCCCTTTAGATAGGGAGACCTGCTTGAAATGGAAATGGCAATATTTTGACATTTCTTGAAGCTGGATGGCAAGTACTGGGCATTCCTGGTCTTATCCTGTTTCTTTTGTTTGCTTGAAATTATTCATAATAAAAATGGCGCTTAATTGTTTCCTATTAAGAGGTCAGGCAAGACCAACCCCCACCCCCACCCCCTTTATTTAATAAGGAGGGAAGGAGTGGCAGGACAATTACTAGTAGAATATCCACCAATTTAATTTGGGGGCAGGCGGGAAGAGTCATTTTTAAACACGGCTCTCATTATGCACCTATTCAATGCTTTTCCTCAGTGGAGCTATACATATCCATGAATATGTATATCGCAAGTTCCTTTCTCAAAAAAATAATTGCCGTGTGCAGCTGACATGAGCTGAGAAGTAGACTCACATCTGAGATGGCTCATCTTCCCAAGGAAGTCGGTGGTAGGTACGCCCAGGTCCGCTGTCTTCTGCGGTGCCTGGCTGGCCTGTGCTAATCTCCCTCCCTCTGGACTTCTCCCACACCCTGGTCTGCAGCCCACAATTCAATACCATTCTCTGTGTTGCTCATTTCATGTGTTAGATACGTTTCTGCAGCCTACAGATAAGCTCTTTGAAGGTAGGAGTCCTGCCCTGTTAACTCTTGGTACCATTAGTCCCTATGGCTGCCTTTCTAGAACCTTCCCAGAGCTTAGCCCCTGGGAGAATCTCCATGAGTAATGTCATCTGTCTGTGAACTGTTCCAGTCAGGCAGAAGTGAAACAGTAAGGACACAAACTCATCCCAATTTGGCATATGCCACCGCTGTGCTAAATCTTTTACATGCATTGCAGTTGAGAATTCCTTATCGGAAATACTTGGCACCAGAAATGCTTCAAATTTTGGATTGTGGAACATTTGGGTTATGTATGTACCAGCTAAGCATCCCTAAAGGGCGGGGTGGAATCTGAACCGGTAACCACCCTAGCCAGCCTTCCCTCTGAGTATCCTGCTGGTGCTCAAAAAGTTTCAAAGTTGCTACATTAGGGACTCTGCCTATCAAGTGCAAACATTGTCACCTCACTGTACCCTCACGTTAGTCTGAAATTAAAAAAAAAAAAAAATGGAATTGGGAGCATTTCAGAGTTTGGATTTTTGGATTAAGGATGCCCACCTACTATCTCGTTTTATCTCGTTCAGCCCTGTAATGTAGGTATCGTTGTTTAGGTTTTACAGATAAGAAAAGCTGAGATTGGAAGAGGTTAATTTGTCCACAGTTACATATTAGGGAGAGCAGCAAGTCTGGGGTGCAAATTCATTTCCCTCTGACTCCAAATTCAAGTTCCTCCCCTGCTCCACCCCACCTCTCCCTGCTCTCCCTGCTCTCCCATTGGACCCCACGTGCCCCACGCTTTCAGCCCTGAATTCCAGCAATCCTGATTTCCCACCAGATTCTAGGTATCTCCTGCCACTGCTCTCCCGTGGGCAGAGACAGCACCGACAGTTCCCCAGCCAGCATCTCCGTGTCCAGCATGATTTAGGACACAGCTGAAATGCAAGCACCCATGCCCAAGCTTGGAAAAGCGACCTTCCAGCTGTATAGAGCTCAGCTTCCTGGGGTGAAGGTTCTGCCAGGAAGGATAGTCCAAGTCCTTTGCTAGAGAACTGGGTCTCTGGCCCTGGTAAGCAAATGGTTAGTTTCCCTAGTTTGTGACATGGTCATTGCTTGTACACAAGTTATCACCGTGCACGGGTGAAGGGCAGCCTCTTTCTCTGTAAAGTTCTTCCATAATTACAGGAGGAAGAAAATCTTTTGGGTTATGGAGAACACTGCCCGTCCCCAAGTTCCGTCCAGTCTCACGTGCCAGAGGGAAGTGTAGCAAAACCGAATTGAGGTGCATTTACTGCTTTAGGAGAAACTAATCCTGCTGCCCCTTCCCTCTGCCTTTTTACTGTAACACGCAGGTTGTGTTGTCCACAACGGTGAATGTGGATGGACATGTCCTGGCCGTCTCTGACAACATGTTCGTCCATAACAACTCCAAGCACGGGCGGAGGGCGAGGAGACTGGACCCTTCTGAAGGTAGGGCTGTCTGCGCTCAGCACCGCAGAGACGTGAAGTTCTCCACATCCTTCCTTGTTTGAATTTCAAATGCGTGTCTCGGAGTCGGAGAAAGTACACAAAACCATGTGGGTTTTTAGATGAAGTTGTAAACACGGACTCCAGCCCCCCATGCCTCCCCGCCGGCGCTGCGTCCTCCCCATTCGGTTCTGTGTTTTTCTTTCTGCTTAGACGGCACTTCAGGCAAATGTGGGTCTATGACATCTTAGTTAAACAGGAACGTTACAGTGCCAGACGTGTATGAATAAGTGTCAGATGTGCCCTGAAACAGATTGTGGGCAAAACAAAACAATGTGCCGAATGAAACTGACACTAATTGATTTTTGTTTGCTTGGACAAGACGAAATCGTGGTCTGCTCTGCATAGTTTTCCAAGTGCATTATAGTAATTAGAAATACCAGCAACTGCTAAACTTCAAGTTGTCCAAAATATTAAAGTATATTGATGAAGATAACTGACAAACCTCAGTGAATTCCACTGTAGTCATTTCCCCCCTTCCATTCTCCCCAGATCGCTGGTGTGGGAAGACCCCCTAACGTGGCATGAATGGTCAAATTAATCTACCATTTTAGTGTGCTGTTTTGCTGTATATCCCCCCACTCCCACCCCGAGCCCTTAAAATGTATCTCGTATCATTTTAAAATAGGAATTAATGAACTGAAAGAAAATGATTGAATCAGTAAAGAATTTGGAGTGGTGTTAATTCTCCCACAGTGGGCACTGAACGGGGAGAGGAAAATCCCAGGGTTCAGAACTAGGAACCCATCCAGTTTCTTTTGACTGATTGGATGTGATTGACGGGCTGTTCAAAGGGGGCTCATGTTTTTGGAGTCCTGCCAAAGTTCTCCTCCACCTTCGACCCTGTCAACTTTGGAAATGGAGTGATGGATTGACTTTGGTTATGGCCTGAAAACCATATTGGGTTCCTGTTGGGGTGCAAAGTCCAGAGGCCTCGAACATGTGGAAGGAGGGGAGAAAAATCCCTCCTACAAAGTGAGGAGAGTGGTTAGAAATCGTCTCTTGATAGAGCTGGAAAATAAACCTTCAACTGTGATAGATTTTGTTTTCTCCTTGTTTTCCTCCCTCGCTAGCACCTTAATAGGCCTTGTAAATCTTACCATCTTGGGACAGAGGAGGTGGGGAGAGAAAAGGGATTTGCACATTTCCACTGTGATCAACTTACAAAAATATGGGCAAAAACAACAGAGCTTTAAAAACACCCTTTGCACAATTAGCTAAGTGTTTGACTTTTTCGTACATAATGGTCAACTCATTAGGCTTTAATGACTTGGTGAAAACCAACAACCAATTAAGGAATGATGGCAAGTCAGCAAGCTCAGCTCGAACTTCTTGGAATGACCAACGGCTTTCAAGAGCAGCCAGTCCCCAAAACTCCACATTTCACCCACCTAGGAATAGACCTGACTTTTTCTTTCCTTATCTTCTCAGCTACCCCCTGCATCAAAGCCATCAGCCCAAGTGAAGGCTGGACCACAGGAGGAGCCATGGTCATTATCATTGGAGACAATTTCTTTGATGGTCTCCAAGTGGTGTTTGGAACCATGCTCGTCTGGAGCGAGGTAGGCCGAGAAAACTTGCTTCCTTGATTTCCTTTGGCCCAAAGATTGTTCTGATTTGGGGAAATCAGTAAGTCCTAGATCATCATCAGCATGAACAGACATTATTGAGTATCTCCTAGACATGGATGTCATAACGGTTGTAGGGACAGATTTCTTAAAAAGATAAATATCCAGTGCAGTATTATTTAAATGTGGGAAAAATTAGAAACAGCCCAGGTAGTGAATAATACGAGAGTGGTAAAATAAGTGATGAAATATCATTCCACCTTTAAAAATTGTGTTTCACAAAAATTGTAATGATGCTGGAGAAGGCATGTGCTTACTTTATAATGTGAGGTGGAAAAAAGAAATGAAAATAACAGTGTCCGTAAAACCTAATTACACATCCATGGAAAAGTACTGGGACTACACCAAATGTTAATATTGGTTTTCTCTGTAATATGCATATTTTTCTTTGTGTTTTTCTGTAAATTGCAAATTTTCTAAATGGGATGTGTTTTATTTTCATAATCACATAAAACATAGGACAGGAAGATGAGTTAACAGTGCTATGTTGGGGTTGGTAGAATCCATGTTTGAAGTCACAAGCACTACAGGAATTCTTGGGAGGGAGTAATTATAGGGATGGGGGTAGGGTGGGCAGCAGGAGGTGGGAGGGGGACTTGAGCTGGGCTTGTAGGAGAGAAAGGACCTAGGAAGGCTGGGTTTGGTAGGAGGCCACTTGGAGCATGGTGGGTCTTCCAGTTGGGCTACAGCAGAGTTCCCCAGAGCTTCTCTCTGCTGTAGCCCATTGGAAGACTCTGTGTCCTGTGTCCTTGGGTCTTACATCCTTGTCTAATAGCTACTTTATTTCTCTGCCTCCTGTCAATCTGCAGCTAATAACCCCTCATGCCATCAGAGTGCAGACTCCTCCTCGGCACATCCCAGGAGTGGTGGAGGTGACATTATCTTATAAATCCAAACAGTTCTGCAAAGGAGCCCCAGGAAGGTTCATTTACACAGGTAGGTGATAAAAAGATTCCAAGAGATGTTGATTTCCAGTTCCCCTCTGTTCCAGGTCCCAGTCTTTCCACTTTATCATCATCTTCATTTTCTAGGTCTTTCTATTAGTGTGTTAAGGAGGGAGGGTAGACTTGATTCTAAATTTGCGTTTTAATTTGGCAACTTGGGCATGATCTGGGAGATAGTCATGGCAGCCTGTTTGAGGGATACACCTTTACAAATGTAACTTGAACTTGGTAGAACAGTCTTTTATATGCGCAGTCAGATAAAAAGAAATGAGACCAGGTTGTTGGCTATTACTAAACTATCTTGAAATGATTCGAGAAAGTATAAGTAGGTTTCATAGAAGTACTGAGTACCTTGGCTACTTAGATTTACTCACACTTTCTTATGAAAGATAGAACACAACTATAGCCCAGGATGAAAGAGAGAAATGGAGTGGGAAGGGAGGGGGAGGGAGAGGTTTGACAGAGGGAGGGTAAAAGGCAGGACCACACTTATGGAGCATATGACAAGGGTACAAGTCAAATCTGTCGTGTAGAACATAGATGTTTGGCACAATAATCGAGTAAATGAGGTGAAGGCTATGTTGATTGGTTTGATCTAACCACGTCAGATTGTATAAAAAAAAAAACCCCAGCGCCTTGTACCCCACATATGCATAAATGTATTCATAATCTATGTGTATTTGACTTAATAATTTAAAAAAGACCAAAAAAGTACATCTCACAAACCAACAAACAGAAAAGATTCAAGAAAGTTTCCCAGTGGTGTTGCAGAATGATTCAAAGTATTTCAAAACTTTATGAAAGTGAAAAATCATGTATTAGTTTAATATTTACAGAGTGTCCAGTTTCTATTTGCTGCTTTTTCTAAGTGGTGGGTTCAGCTGGTACATAAGACATGGTCTCTTCCCTATTTGAAAGTGTATAGACTTTTGGAAGAGGCAATGGTATATTGGACAGAACAGCTAAAGAATTTGTCCATTCAGACAAATTTCCAATGAATGGAATATGAGTTTTAGGACGAAAGTGTTTAGTGTGGGCCAGAGTAGAGAAATGGGGTGTCAAGGAGGCAGAAACGGAAGATTGGCCAGGTTCATGCCTCTAATCCTAGCATCTTGGGAGGCTGAGGCAGGAGGATCACTCAGGGCCAGGTTTGAGGCCAGCTTGGCAACATAGGGAGGTACGCACCTCTATACAGAATAAATAAGAAACATCAGCTGGGTATGGTGGTGTGCATCTGTAATTCCAGCTACTCAGGAGACTGGGGTGGGAGGATCGCTTGAGCCCAAGATTTGGAGGTTACAGTGCTGGTCTATGATCACAATCATGCCGCTGCACTTCAGTCTGGGTGACAGAGCAAGATCCTGTCTCAAAAAGAAAGAGGAAAAGAAGTAGAAATTGCAGACTATTTAAGGATAAGGAGGATTTGGATGGGCAAAGAAAAAGAATGTTCTCACTGTGGGAACCCCATGTGCCAAGGCCACAGGGTGAGGCGAGCACATACCTGAGGACAACAGGGCTGCTTCAGCAGCTGTGGGGGTGCACTGGGCCCAGCTTAGCCTAGGACCTAGGTAAGCTAGACATGGGGCGAGAAGGCTTAAAATAGCTTAACGGCCTCGTATGATACCTGGAGTCATCAAATTCATAGAGGCAGATTGCTTAACACTATTGAGCTTTAAACATGACCAAGATGATAAATTCTGTGTGTATTTCATGCAATTTTCTTAATGAAATAAAAGCCTTATTAAGGGAGTTTGGACTTGATTCGGCAAGAAATAAAAAGGCATTACGGGTTTCTGTGCAAGGAAGAGTAACTGAAAGGTATTTTCTCAAAATAAAAAGGAATGTTCTTGAATTAATCATTAGCTCTTGAGTTAATCCCAAAGCAGGAACATCAATGAGGCTATTGTATTTTGAAAGAAAAAAATTAGGGGCATAGAGAATGAAATACCTGAACCAAGAAAGTATATCTGGCATGTTGCAAATTTTTAATAGTAATATTAATTAATATTAATAGAGTATGTTCTCTCGTTTGGACTCTCATTAAAGTGCAAACTTCTGGTGAGTCTCAATCAGGAGTAGATGGAAAGGGATAATATTTAGGTATATTTATTTAAAAATTTGCTTTTGAATTTTCTATCCTGAGTTAAGCCCATCTCAGGTGTTATTCTTTTGTGGCTCTAAGGGAGAGTCTATTAGTACAAGTCACAGCACAAGAAGTTACCATTCTAGTTCTCAGAGAGAAACAGTTTATTCATTCATTTGTTCAAACTAGGGTTTATTACATGCCTGCCGTGGGATCTAGAAGTGATTGAGGTCAAGTCCCCCATCCTAATAAAGTTTACAATATAGAGAGGAGACAGACCACTAAGAAAGTATCCTTTCCGGTAGGGAGCAGTGAGGAAAGAGTGTGAGGGAGGATTTGGGTAGGGTGGTTAGGGAAGCTTCTCTGTGGAAGGGACATGGAGCAGATGTCCAGGAAGGGCCAACCATGAAAATCTGTCCCCCTTCTGTCCTTTTCTTTCTGTCCCAAGCCTAGTGCTATCAGGAAGAGTGAGGATGCTGGGATGGCTGGAGTGGAGCTGGCGGGGAAGAGGGTGGTGGGAGACGAGGGGCAGAGAAAGGGGTGTGGATGGGAAGACCGGAGGGTGTCAGGCAGAGGAGCCATCAGCATCTAGGCAGGATTTAAAGCCCTGGGGCTGGATGAGATCACCCCGGAAGGGGTATAGCTATGGGGGCAAGATGCACACACTAGTATAGAGGCTGAGGATGGTGAGGAAGAGCTTGGGAAGGAGACGGAGAAGGAGTGGTCAGGGTCGGAGGGAGCCAGGAGCCCGGGCTGTCCCTGAATGACTTAGAAGCCCAGGGAGGTCAGCTGGAGGCCAGCGTGGTGGCCCAGGCCAGGAATGATGGTTGCTTAGAACACTGATGGTGGGGACAGGCTGAAGTGGGTGAAATTTAGGAGGCAGCGCTGACGGGACTTGATGATTGATTAGATAGGGTGAAGGTTGAGGAGAGAAGGGGACGACTCTCAGGTTTCAGAGTTGAAAAATTGGGTGGGTATAGTTTGGAAAGTGGTTTTTTTTAAAGGTATAACATGCTAAGGGAGTTCAGAGGGAGGACAAAATGCTTCCAGCTGGCGGAGAGGTGGGAAGATTGAATATTGTAAAGATGTCGATTAATGAATGAATTTAACACCGCGCCAATCAAAATACCGACAAAATGTTTGGGAAAACTTTACAAAAGTTCACCTGGAAAAAAAAGGTGCTAAAATAGGGATTTAAAAATTAGAGAGGGCCTGTCCTATCAGACATGAAAACCTATTTTAAGTTTCAACAATTAAAAGAATAAGGGGGCCGGGTAGGAACCTATAGAACAACATTCTCTTCTGTTGTATTCTATCATGAGAAAAATTAAAAAATAAACCGATTGTGCACACATTCCATGTATAAGTACTTAGTATAGGTGAGGAGCAAAGTCAGGCGGTGCGTGTGAACAAAATGGAATGATTAACAAGTGTCTTAGGCCAATTAGTTAAACATTCAAAGAAAAAGTTAGATTTCTAATTTCACGTTGTAAACTAAACTGCATTCAAATGACATATTTTTAATTAAAAATGCAGAAAGTTTCAAAGATCACAGAGCTCAAAAATAATTATAATCTCAAGCCTCGCTCACATTGACATTGAAGACAGGTACCATCAAGTTAAAGGATGTGATGACATAAAAAGAAAATGTTTGAGTGCCAAAGGACCAGGCATTCAATCGAGAGGAAAAAGGCAAAGAGTGACTTATTTGTTCTATATGACACATTATCCTGTGTATTAAAAGATGCATTTGTGCAGCAAAAATGTATGCCAACTCTTTTCAACTGCTGTATTGTATGTCGCTGATAAAGAGGAGGATGTTAGATACCCTGTAAATTAAAGAGGAAAAGACAAACGCTTAGATAAAGGGCTTGCAAGTAAGCTGGGGAGTTAATGCAGGCAGGCGTGCAGTTAAGCAGTAAACATATAAACAATTTCCCCCACTTTAATAATCAACCAAATGCCAGGGAAGGCAACAGGAGCCTCACATTTTTTCCCTCTCAAGCTGGCAAAGACTTTTTTTTTTTAAAACAAATGAAAATATCAGGTTGGAAAAATTAGAAGATAAGTAGGGATTTTTACACTCCTGTAGAGATGTAAATGGTTACAGGAGAGGACCTGTGTGGTGCGACCATGTTTCCCCCCAAAATAAGACACTGTCTTATATTTATTTTTTTCTCAAGAAGACACACTAGGGCTTATTTTCAGGGGATGTCTGATTTTTAAGTATAATACAACAATCTACATTTATTCAAATGCAGTTAAGTCATCTTCTTCTGGAACCTGACAGGGGGAGCCGATCTTGTTGGTGGGACTGGCGCTAGTGATGCAGGAACTCCTTTCCCCTAGCCATTCACATGTGCGCAATAGGATGCCTGCAACTGTGGTTATCACATGTGCACCTGCGCAAGTGCGAATGGCTGGGAGAAAGGAGCTGTGGCAGATAAAACGTATTCCAGCATTCTTTACCGCTCAGTGCTGAAATGCAGGGTGTGGCTATGCAGATAGGCTGCATAGTCACGCCCATCACTAGGTCTTATTATCAGGGTAGGGCTTATATTTAACAAATGCATAGAAATCCTGCTAGGGCTTATTCTTTGGGAAGGTCTTATTTTCAGGGAAACACAGTACCTATAAAAATGTAGGTAGCCTTTGGCCCAGTGATTCTACTTTTAAGAACATATACTTAGGAAATAATTGAGTTTGCCTGAAGACTGTTCATTGGGGCCTAGTTTATAGTAGTGAAAAATTGGAAATGTCTTTAATGTCCATGAGAAGATTCATTAAGTAAATAATGGAACATCTCTAACTCTCCCCCTCCTTTTAGAGATAGGGTCTTGCACTGTTGTCCAGGCTGCAGTACAGTGATATGCAATCACAGTTCATTGCAGCTTCCAACTTAAGGACTC